AATTCGGGGTGGAGTCTCATTTGATGTTCTTCTGTATTTAAAAAAATATAGAAAGTTCTTAGCATGAAACAGCTGATTTGCCATCTTGCCAAAAGGAAGACAATACATGAAGCAATGTGATGTAACTATTCAAGTAAAGTGTGTGACTATAGGGGCTTATTTGTCTACTCTTTGGTACCTATATTTTTTCACTCATATGTATTTTTGACATGTTTTTATTAACTTCACTTGTACACTCTTCAAGAATCAGTGACATTACAATAATTTCATACGTTTATTTCATTATCCTGATCAGGATCGCCAGGAATAATTTCCTCACACAGTCTCTGTGTGAGAGCAAGTGAGATAATGAGATAACAACACTGTCTGCGCATGCGTATATATTTTATATTAAAACAAACGTGCTTGAAATAGCAAGCCAAAATAAAAAGTGGAAAATAAATAGTAGTTTAAAAAACTGAAAAAACCAACTGAAAGATAAAAAATAATTCGAAACTAATTTAAGATTGTGTTCAACATCGTTAATAAGTCCTATAACTTTTAATAAGTCTGAAATCAGAATAAATCTACCTACCTATATGAAAAAAAAATAATTTAGTTGTAAAAAACCGTGGGATGCTTTAAATTATATTTATATTATGGCCCCAATCTGGCAAACAGCTCCTAACCAAAAATATTCATCGGAATTCAAAAGTAAAATCAATTTTGGGTGGTTAATTGAAAAAATCTATCAACATGTGTATATAACAAATTCACGTTAAGAAGAGAATGACGTCAATTTCGGCAATTTGGTATATCCAACATAACAAATTTAAAGTTTCCAATGAAATGCGTTCAATAGCAGTGTAACTAGTAAAATTTCATTTTGTAAGTTGCTCAACTGATAGTAAAATTTTAGACGTCGAATCGAAAAAAACTCGAAAACTGTCAGTCTTTCTTTTCTTTTCAGAACTAATCATTTCTTTTGATAAGACCTGCGGATATTCAATATGCTCAAAGCATTGTCGAAACAGTCTCAACAAAGTTGTATTTCAACTAAGTAAATTAATAGTAAGTAAGGTTAATAGCAATAAAACATATCAACAGTACAAATAATTTGAAAGTTCGAAATAGTGCACATGTTGGCAATGCCGTAACTTGTCATATTGTGACGTCATTCTCTTCTAACGTGAATGTTTTAAATAAATACTACATTTTTCACATTTCAACCGACTCAATTATTTATGCCTAGAGAACAACCAGTTGAAAATGATTTATTAGTTCGCTGCTTAATGAAATTAAATCATTTGCCAACAGAACAGAAGAACCTTAAAACGCGTACCTGAAAATCGCGTATCTTTTGTTTGTTGATGCCACAGACTATCAGTATTCTGTGGTTGATGCGACGTTGTATTGTAACCTCGTTCGGTTACGAGGTTATGATAAGGCTAGTGTTGCCAAATCTCCACATTTTCATTATCTTCGCGCATTTCTAACGCTTTTTAGCGTGAAAAAATGTTCAGCATTTGCCTGTGGAGTAAACTCTAGACCTACCCTAGTCGTTTGCCTTATATGAATCTAGAAATCATAAAAAAAAGTATGCGCGAGTTTCCACAAAATTTGTCAATTTGTTAGTATGAATTGATCTTTCAAATGGATAATATTTGGTCCAATTTTATCCACTCCGCTCATATTCTTATTATACTGGAGAGTGAGAATGGGTTTCTGTAGAAATTGTTCATAACTAATTTCATTCACATCATCTGCACCTCCATATAATCTGCCAATTCATCTTCCTCATCGGAATCATACCACCCACATTTTTTCCTCGTCATGAATTGCGAAAGTGGGATCGTCAGAATTGCATAATAAATACTCAAGTTCCTGTTGTGTCTAAGAACGCTGAAATTTAAGTTTCTTACCCGCCCCTGAGGTGTCTTCCTTAGACCGCCCTGGATTAGCGTCATCTATTTTTTTAAACAATACTCGCCTTATAAATACAATTTACTGATAAATACAACTACAACGAGGTGCTCAACTGGCTGCAGTTCTAGTCACTGCTTAACAACAACTGATCATTTGTAATAATATCTACCTCAAGTCTTTAGCATTCTACTCCAGTTATACCACAAGTGAAATGATAAAGAACGCATTATACGGTTATACGAAAGACTTTTGAAAACGTCATACGCACTATACTGAAATAGTTGTATGACGCCTTCAGAAGTCATGAGCAGTGAATGGGTTATAACGGACGTCACTCGTTGATATTTGCTTGTGGAACCAATACTTCTAGTCGCACAAGCAGTGCCATTTGTTAATTTTTCGATATCACTATCAGCAAAGTAACTAACTTATAATTATTCGGAAGATTTATTCTCCCCGTGTGTACAGAATTGTTTCTAATGTTTGAATAACTTAGACAATTAATCATAATGACACTCTTTTTTTCAGAACCCTCTTCGAATATGGATAGTATCTGCGACTGGTATGAAGGTCAACATATATTCATCACTGGTGCCACTGGATTTATGGGAAAAATTTTAGTAGAAAAAATTTTGAGGTCTTGTTCGAAAGTAGCGGCAATATACATACTCGTTAGGCCTAAAAAAGGGAAAGAATCCTGGCAACGGATTGACGAGTTTCTGAATTCTCCGGTAGGTGAAGGCATACTTAAGATATTGTTAAGTTCTGTGGTCCACAGAACTTGACAGCGTGGGGCAAGGGGGCAGCTGCCGGTCGATGGGTGTGTTCGTCACATCGACATAACCTTAATAGGTTATATCGGTGGTTCGTCATGAGAAATATATTGTCAAGTTCTGTGGTCCACCCTTGTCTGTGGATATACCAATTTTATGTCGGTGGGTTTCGTCATGAGAAATGAAAGTTTGATGAAATTTAATAACTTTATTCACTAATTTATAATCCTAACTAAATAAATATGGTACTTATTCAAAGTCGGTTGTAACCTCATCGACAGTGGAAACTGATAACTAATATAATCTGCTCGATTTCCAAAACTTCCCATTCCAACTCTTCATATGTTCTCAAGGCGCGTATCCATTCGCAACAAATGATCCGTAACGTAACCACAAAACCATTACGTTACGGCTGGTAGAGACGCAGTAGGTACTGTTGCTCCGGTCGAATTAGGTTTTGACAACGCTAAAATTTTTACTGGCAATTTTATTTCGGAATTTTTTGGGGGGAATATAACTAAAAAAGAAGAATTAAAAATTAAAGAAGAGGAATGAAAATGAATAGTTGAAAAAACAATTATATCAAGCAAAAAACCTGAACTTCTTCTTTTTTAGTCATTTCAGGGATTTTCAAATCATTTTAAATAATATCAGACAATGTAAGTCCGAACTAATGAAATTCATCATGAAACATTGTCAATCACCTTCAAACCTAAGTTCTCGGGTTACCAGACCCGTTGCGTCATCCTGTATTTAAGGGTTGATTGTTGTTTATTGAATAACTTGTTTATTTTCGATATGAAAAATAGTTATCACAACGTTGCTTGGAATTGAATTTATTTCCCACCTTTTTGATTCCTATAATTTTTTTTCCTAGGATCGATATTTTTCGATTTATACCCTGAAAAAGGAGGGAGTAAATTCGTATCATTTGTATTGATGTTTTCGTATTATTTTGTTGTTGTTTTTTCTATCGACTGTCTTTGAAAATTTGATATGTACATAATGTGATTTGCTACAATTATGATGTCGATTTTTTTCAAGGTTCATATTTTAGGGACGCGCGCTTACGGAAAAGGAACAGGGGTTTGTAAATTATCAGTTTGTCGAACAGTATAACTTTTAAAACTGAAAAAATGAACTTTTATTTTGTTTTTAGGACACTTTTGAAAATCTTATGAAATTTCAATTTAGAACGCTTGCACTAATACATCCGGAATCTCAGAAGAGTCGGAGGTGATTTGTTCTGAGCAGTTTTCGTCACTATCAAGGTCGATAATATAATGATAAGATTGTACCCTCTCCTTTTCTCGGATATTAATCGAAAAATATCGGTCCTAGGAAAATAGTTACAAGTACCAAGAAAATTGTATTTTGAACAACCTTGTTCATTACAATTTTTCTCGTACATTTTTTCTCGAAGTTGTTCAATAAAAAAAAACACCCCCTATTTTCCTGCATAAATCTAAAGGAAAAAATGTATAAGAACTAATTTCAGAAATTTAATTTTATACAACTTTGGTGTTATTCAATAAACAAAAATCAACCTTTAAATTCAATATGGCAAATGACGTAACAGGGCTGGTATCTTATTGTCTAAGGCTTGTACCCCAGGAACTTAGATTTAGACTGCTTCTACTTCCCAAAGAATTACAAAAAAAATTGCCAGTGAAAATTTTTGCGTTGTTGTGCCTTTTTTAGAGTTAATTCAACTAGGCTATGTTGCATGTTATCAGCTATATAATATTTCAATATGCGTAACCCTGTGAAGCCAAACCACCATTTGTCGGTTATTAACCGTTGACTCAAATGACTTATGTAATGCACGGCAACTAGTTGGGACGAGTATTTAGTTATGCATGTTCTGTGCATCAGTCACAGATCTCATTTTAATCTATGAGATGAGCAAAAAATAAAAACCCATCTGCGTATTTTCAGTGTATTCGAGCATTTGTTAGGCTTACTGGATTTTGGGGATTTTTGTTTTATATCATGTCATTTTGTGTCAACAGATCAGTTTCACCCTAGTGTGCCTTAGACTCTTCTCTATTTTTGGTATTAAGTTTTTGTTGAAACGACATTGACCAAACCAATTCTTCGGCTTTTATGTTCTGTGTTTCTACCCATTAGCGATAGGTTCATGCTCAATATTTTTTTCGAAAACATTGCCTTTCACAGGTTTGTTCTGGTTCTTACATCCCAAAACGTTTGGAAACTGCGCAAGACATGATGCGTACAAGCAAAAAATCTCAAACAGTCCAAAATAGTCTCGGGTCTCGGACACTTGGTTAAACCAGAACGCTTTTGAGGAGACCACTGTGCCACTTATCGTATATATGAAGAGATGAAGACGAGAAAATACTATTGATCATGTCCATTTTGTTATGTAGCGTATCCTTATAGTCAGTTCAAACGTTATCTACCCTCAATCATCAATTATTCAAGTCAAATAAATGAAAAAACATCCTAGTAAATATCCCAAACAAATTTCCACATGAATGCGCATGAGCAACGGGAACAGTTCTTAACAGTTCAGCCTCGAGAGCAAGAACGATTCGGGACGGTTCAAAACAGTTCAGGATCATTTCGCAGTCGAAACCAGAACAGAGGATTCATCAGTCCAAAATTATCCTCAATAAACCAGAACGCTCTATATCAATTGCGCATGATCCTGACGTCCTAGAATCTGAATTTCGTTGAACCAGAACAAACCTTGTTTCAATGGATAAGTCACAAAAACAGAAGCTCGATCAAAACAGTATAACAAAGATGCGTAGAAACACTATTGTTCAAATCGAATCGCTTTTATAATTGAATAGAACTGGCCAATACTTGATGAAAATCCATATTAGAACTAATTAATATAGTTTATTGTATGATTTTCACTATAAAGGGTTTTACAAAAACCACGGTACGTGTTTTGCTATACGATAGCTTCCTCAAACATAAACTAGTATGAACTTTCACTGAGAAAAATTTAAATTAATTTTATTTAACAAAATTAATTATCAATTAAATTGACAGTTTAATGTTTCCTGTTAAAGATGATCACTCGGTGATTGAAACACATGGCTTGGAAATAAATCTCCAGTATAATTGAAATATGTAAAAATTGGCTGATTTTTTTACTTGGTAATGTACACTAGTAATTTTGAATGTCAGTGGTGCTTTTGTGTCATAAAATGACTGATTGAAAGAAATTTTAAAATTTTCTGTTCAGTAATTCAGGACATCATCATTGCGATCTCTGCACGTTTAGTTTTTGTGAATTTCTTCTTGACAAAGGTTAACCATTTAAAATTATTATGAAATAGTTTTGGCACCAAATGTTGATATTACGTTAAATGGACTTACGAAGTAAATTTTTGAGAGTCACACCCTATTTCTGAATACTTCAGCAAATCTGAGGTAAATATATGAGAAAGTAATAGAAACTCCAACCGATGATAAAATATTGTCCAACTTCACATACTTTTTTTCGAGGTCACATGTTTCATTAAAATTACTAATTCCAAATGGATGATGATCTTGAAATTATTCAAAAGTGCCCTACTTTCAAGTAGGGCAAGTATTTATCCTGAACCCTCTCACACACTACCTCTTATATTAGGATAATATTTTCATATTTTCCTTTGTAGCTCCAATTGAGTGACCGCATACCTACAATAAATAGAGTCATTATAAGGTATCTGAAATGAAATCATACCATAATATTTCGGAAGAACTACTTATTGCAATGAAATTATATCTATATACTTTATTAGTCTTCTTGCACTTTTAATTGTTGCCTGAGAGTCATATCTCACTTCTTCATTTCTTCCAAGTTTTCTGAAAACACTGCAGCCTCATGGACTTATTGCGTTTTTCCTTCTATCTGCTTTAGTTTAAACAGATCGTTCGTTGGAAGTCTGTCATGAACTTCTGAGCATAATTTGGTTTATCAATAAAGCACTTGCTTTCTGTTATTCTATGTCACACATTCCCATAAACGACAAATTGTCTCTGAACCTTTGATGTATTTGTTTACAGCTAAGGTCTCATTTTGTTCAGATGTCTTCTAAATGTCGGTAAGTAGCATTGTAAAGGTATTCGATCTCTCTCTTACTGAAGCAGTTTTTTGTTTTTTTTCTTGGGAGATCAATGAAGGTTCAATATGGTTCCGTAAAATTGATGTTGGTACTACCAAGGCCAATTCAGAGCCCACATATGGAGTTGAAGATCCGTGTTTAGTATAGTTATCAGCTTACTCCATTGCCTATAAGTTTTGAGTATTGTGGTACAAAGTATGACATCACGATATTACCAAACTACTTTCGATGCCGCTCTTTGATTCGTCAATGACCTAGGTGCGGTCTGACTCTGTAAGAATATTAATTCACTCAAATTGAAAGGGTATATTTTTAGGAGAGATTAAGTTTTGGGAAAGAAAGTTTTTGGCCTTCTACTTATCCATCTTGATACAAAAAATGTTGGAATCTTCCTATGGCTGGTATTTAATCAAATAAGCGAATGAATGTTATTCATGTACTGTCATCGATGACATGGGTGGATTCAACCAATTCCGTGACAAAAAAGTCCAAATTATGAACGATTTGATTGTTTTTTCTTATATTGTTATCCGGATTTTCTACTGAAGAGCCGATAAGGCAAGTATCTTACGGCGAAACATCGGCTGACTAGCAGTGAGGATGACAGTGTTCCATGTAAGTGAAATTTTACTTCTTTCATTTATTATATTGTGTAGGAATCCTGTGAATGATATCTGATTCCATCCCATTACGAATGTTTAGAATACAAACGAAAGAGAGAAAAGTGTTTTTCGTATAATTCAGCGTTCATATACAAGTATTTGTGTTATATATAAAAGTATATGTTTATATGAAAATAGGTGTTTCGAAAAGGCTCTTTCTTCCCACATTTTTTGTATCAAGATGGAGAAGCCAAAAACTTTCTCGATTATAATTCGCTCATATCGATATTTTTCGTATATTGTAAAATTACAATCACTTTTGCACGGAATCAACTTCTAATAATCCGTGCGGTCGAATGGGACTTCCTTTGGACGTATCCTCGAATATATAGAAATCCGTTTTCAACCATAACTAATGTTGCTAGAATCCAACACAAAAGAGCCACCCCCCTGAATGGACACCCAATCATCAAAAACAACCTTTATAGTCTAGAAAAACGAAAAAAGTTTGGCGTCCCTTGCCTCTTTTCTGAAAAACTTAAGTGAGAAGTATTCAGCTGGTCCAACCAACATGATTCTTCTGAGTCAGCTCGATCCACAGACCATATTTCTTAAGAACCTTGTCCCCGCAGAATGAACCTTCCGAAGACAGTTTTTCCAAATCGAACAAATCTGAAATCATCAGTCATCTGGTTTCAAGAACCACTTGGCCCACTCTTGTGACTCTGACCTTAGCCTGTCTCTGAGTAAAATCATCTGAAGGAACAATTCGTTCAGGCCAGTCTCCACTCCCTACACTGTAGGTTAATGCACTGACACCAATCATAAAACGACTATTTCCCTGGCTAATACCACAAAGGGCGTTGGATTATATCTGAAAGGTGTCAGTGCAGGATTCTTCACTGAAGTTATTCCTGCATATGCTGTTGGCGATACAATTGCCGCAAAAGATTTTCAATTATTGGAACACACTTGCAGACAGGTTTTGGGCTGTTTGGCCACTCGTCAGTGTAAGGTAGTGTCTATCATCAACATAAAGTCAATAACTTCCAATAACTGAAAATCGAATTCTTTCAGAGTATCATTACTCGAACTAGGTTGAAGCGGACAACAATTAACAGGTTTGTCATCGCCCCATCTGTCTGTGAACGACGTAACCAACCGCATATCCGAAATTTACCCAATTTCTCGTATAAGGAAAGAAAACTTTTCACATATAGTCAGTGGGCATACTTGAAGACTGGCTATAAATCAAATCATCTAAAGGAACGAATCGTTTAGGCCAGTCTCAACTTCCTATACAATCCAACGCCTTTCGTAGCATTAGCCAGGGAAATAGTTGTTTTCTGATAAGTGTCAATCCATTAACCTACAGTGTAGAGAATCGAAACTGGCCTGTTCCTTCAGATGATTTGATTTATAGCCAGTCTTCAAGTATGCCCACTGAATATTTGTGAAAAATTTTTCTGAATAGTATTCTCGTATTATGACATAAGTTTTTACATTAGGTACACCCTCCACTCTTTATCATATCGTCATTTCTCATGAGATTTATTTGCTACTAGACTAGGATCCTAATTTTGTTTGAATGTTCCATCTCAACCGAAACGAACACATCCACATTAAAAAGTTATTTTGAATGAATCATTTCAATATTCGATAAAGAAAAATATGATTGTTCATCAAGAGTTAATAATCATTTCTCCTTAGGTCTTTCATAAACTCCGAAATTCTCCAAACAGTGAAGAGGTATTCAAAAAGCTGAAATGTATAAGTGGTGATGTGACACAAGTCAACTGTGGACTTTCGCCAGAAGACCAGACCAAGTTGAACAATTCAGTAACTATTGTCTTCCACATGGCTGCCAATGTTAGATTCGACCAACCAGTGAAGAGTGCAATTCTTCTGAATACGGGTGGTACACTGAATGTTCTCGAAATGGCTTGCAATTTCCATGCACTTAAGATTTTTGTACATGTTTCTACATCATATTGCCACTGTGATGTAACACGATTAGAGGAGAGGTTATATTGTGCTCCACAAGATCCCAGGTAAGAAGCATATTCTGAACCTGACTTATTCACTTCGACTACGATCAACATTACACATTTTATTTGCAGATATATAAAAGAAGTTAATAAAGACGTAATTTTTTTTTATCGATTCTAAATCATATACAGTGTGACCCATTTTTAATGGAAACACCCCCCTAAAATTTGAAGTTGTAAACCGATTTTAATAATTTTTTTTTGAAATGTCAAGTCCTAAAAGGTCTACCTTGGGACAAAATTTGAAATGTTTATTAAAGTTTGAGGGCATACTACGATATTTTTTTTTGTCGAAAATCGGGATTTTTTTTAGCGATTTTTTTATTGAAAAAANACAAAACCACCACTTACAACGACTCACTCTGTAATAATATTCCATGCCTCAATTTGGCTCGCTTGGTAAACGCCTCAGATTCAGTCGGTTACGCTGTAGTTCGGCCGCGCATAAAATTCGAGGTGGGGAATCTTGACCCAAATATGGCGGAGAATGAACTTACTGGTGTTTACTTCTATACTGTGATTAGATGAAGAAATATCCAACTTATCTTTTCATTACCATCAATATTCAATTGAATGATTCTTCAAAAGAACCTTCGTAGCACTCGAATGTATCTAATATTTTTTCAATGGTTTGTTTTTCTAGAATCTTTGAAACGAGTGAAATCAAACTAATATCGAACACTCAAAAATTTCATACCTATATACTTGAATAACTCCAAAAATATTGGTGAAATCGAAAATTATCAATGATGGTTCACTAAATTTTTTGAGAAAGAAACGTTAATATATATCAGATTCAGAAACTCGTAATTCTCAATTCAAATTTAGCTCACTAGTATTAGGTACCTACTTTGAGTCCATCACATATAGAAGATATGAGTAAGATGGTCTGGACCATTCAAAGAGTTTTTTTTGTTGGAATATTTAGCCTTTTATATACCGAGACTTCTGAAGGGTTATGATAATTTTCTTCTCAAGAACTTTTTTTTTCAAATGCACTTCTAGAAAATTTACAGTGTTGATGTTAATACTGTCACATTATATTTTTATACAGTGTGCCCAAGAGTTTAGTAAACAAGCTTCATTTTTGCCATGAGAAAAGTTGCACAAATGAAACAAAGTCAGCTCGGGAAGATGTTTAAATGCCGTCTTGAGAACATCTTCGAAAAAATGCTAAACATCTTTAAACAACTGTCCTCTAGTTTCTTGAATGGCACCGCCAAAAATTGTACACTCAATCATTCGAGTCTTTCCGTACTGTTGATATCGTTATGAATCACTTTCGATATTTTGCTCAAAAATTTCCATCTAACTGAATAAATAATAACATTATCAGCAGCATTAAACAAACTGTACAGAAAAAGTGCAAAAAAGATTGTTTTTCACAAGTGATAGTTCTGCTCAATGAATCGAATGTCAGAAATCTATTCCAGTATAGTTAATCCGGAATGAAATAGAGTTTGAGACTTTCAACAGAACAACAGAACAAAAATTACGCTCTTGATCACCACAAACACCAGCCAGAAGTGAAGAAAATTAAATAAATGATATGGCATATACGGACATGAATCCACAAGTTTCATATTAATGGTGTGGTCACAGATAATGCTCATTACTAGTCCTATCACATTGGATAACAAAAAAACTAAACAAAATGGAGTGTGAACGCGTAATATGGATACATCATGGTAGTTCAACACTGGTAGTTTAACAGGACCATGACCTTTAGATTTTCTGCTGAACATCTTGGTCAAACTATTATAATTCACACATGGTTACCTAACATATTGATGATACATACTCAGAGATGCATAGGAAACAGGGGTCCAATGTGTTGGCTATCCCGTTTTTCTGATATGATTCCATTAGAGTTTCTATGGGGTTGTCTGAGAAAAATTTATACCAATCACCTTCAGTAAATTGAGAGGAACTCAAGAATCGAATCTATTGTGCATGCTACACCATCACACTTAGATCTTCCTGCACTAGGAAACTCTCGTGGTGAGACGAGACCCCTTCCTTGATCGACCTCTTCATCTCGGTCATATCTAGTAAAGAACTGAGCTTCGTGAAAGCCTGGGAGATCTCTCTCCCCTGCTCTGCTGCCCCGAAAATTCCCCAATGACACGTCTCATTCACGCGTTGCATTGATGTGCCGGATCTGAGGTAAATCCCTAGGATCAGTTGACCTATCTCCTTGTTTCCAGGTCGTGTAGCCTCTCTTTGTAGATCGGGTAGTCTACCCTGTTTGCGGGATGCGGGCCTGCACAGTTGACGCACACAGTTCATCCCTTGATTTTGTACATTCGTACGTTGAATGATCTTTGGCGCATTTCAAACAGTTTGAGGTGACCCTGAAGTTGGCATCGAGGGTATTGTGAATTTTTTCTGGAATTATTGCAAGTGTGGACGTTCCTTTTAAGGTGATTGAGGATGACGTCCTTATTGGTTATTATGAGGCACAGCGACTTCCCTTCCATCCTCATTTTGTAAATGTTTTTAACCTGTATCTCTTTAGATCATCTCTTGTGTCGTCCACCGGTGCTTGCATATCTAGATCCCTAAGGACAAATGCATAGGTTTTGTCCTCTGGCAGGATGTATGTGTGGTATACCGCATTCTGTTTGTTAGTCTGTTTGGCCTCCCAGTCTGGTGGCCAATACTGCTTTTAGTGTACAGTAGCCTTGACCGCCCTGTATATTTTATTTCGAAGTCATTTTTCAGCTCCTGTTTTATTGTGTGAAGGCCTTCTTTGTTCATAGGGAGAATGTCCTTGATCACTATTGGTTGAAGAGTTTTACTTTGTTCGCCTCGACAAGGTCTCGCTTTGGGTTTAGTTGCCGTGGTTTCAACTGCGGTGTCAGCTGTGTCCATGACTTCCTGAAGTTCTTCATACCTATTACTGGTCTAAGTTCCGGCGTAGGAACTGATTGGCGCTGTTCTTCTGTGTCTCGTAGTTTTCGTGGGGTGTTTTCAATCAATCAATCAATCAAGATATGCTTTATTGTCAGAAGAACATAATTCTCGTAGACAAAGCTATACAATGTGATTTGGTCAAACAATTAGTTAGATTACATCTACGTAAAAAATCTCAATATCTAAATCCTAATACTAATATACATAAATTGAGATTTATACATGTTTTACAACTCTACACATGATTTTTATATTCATATATGGATACATGCTGAGATGTTTTATGAGCAGCCCACGTAGTAAACATACAGTTATGAAGATAATTAGTCAAAAGTGGAGGAAAAATATTCATTAAGGGTATAAGGTGAGATTTCAAGCAGTAGTTTTTTGGACNTTTCTTTATGATTTCAAAAATTAATAGTATTAAAAATCTACTTATTATATTTTTTTCAGAAAAATGTTGGACCTGGCAAAGTGGATGAGTGATGAATTGTTAGAAGCTTTGACTCCAGTTTTACTGAAAAACCATCCAAATACTTATTCGTATACGAAGTCTCTCACGGAACAGTTAGTATCTGAATACAATAATAGGCTGCCTATAGTTATTACAAGACCGTCGATAGGTATGTGCATTATTTTATCATTTACTGAATTGAAAAATATAATAAAATATTTTTTTGTGAAATGAATCGAGTTGATGATGGAGAAATTGTCTTTTAGGAAGAAAAATAGGCAATCAAAACATCATCAGCAAGTTACTTCACCAATGTAATGTAATTTTGAATTGGTGACCTTTTCAGTGACCCAGAAGTGTATGAATATAATGTTGATTCTAATCATCTGCTGGGTGAAAGTAAAAGTACTTAAATTTTCAAAATTGAAGTACTTTTACTTTCCTTAAAATTAAACCGACTACCTAGGGTGAAAATCCTGTGGAGAAAAACATTATTCAACATTAGATTCCCAATATCAATACATATCTTCATTTTAGAAGGATCGTAATAAAGAAGATGAATGAGATAAATATATACATTTACTAACATCAAAAATGAAAATGTACCAATAACTTATGAAATGCAAAGTCATAGAAAGACCTCAAATGTAATCCAAAATTCTGACTTCAGACTCGAAATTTTATTACAAAATGTTTATAGAAAAATTTTCCCTTTCACGAATCCGTAGAAATCTATTGAATATATCTCGAGAACCATTGATATACATTATTTATGTAAAACAATATTTGAAAGAATTTTATTTCATAATTTGTATTAGAATGGTACACCTTCAATTCCTAACATTGGAATGTTACAACACCTATACCTTTCAGTGGTGGCAGCTTATAGAGACCCAATTCCCGGATGGGTGGATAATATGAATGGACCTACAGGAATACTGATTGGAGCAGGAAAAGGTGTTATCCGAACAATGCACTGTGATTTAAAACTGAGTGCTGACGTAGTTCCAGTGGACATGGTGATCAATAGTTTACTAGTTATTGCGTGGAAAGTTGGTAGTGGGCCTAGAACAGACCAAGCGGAAGTTTATCACATAACCGCCAATAAGGTAAGAGATATCTGTACTATTAGATCACCGTACATAAGTAAACAGAAGTAAATTCACTCCCGTCGGCCTCTTTGATGTTTCGGGTCGAGACTTTATTTTTTGCTGGCATGTGGCGGGGCAGGAGGGTGTAGGGTAAGAGCTGTTGTGTGCACCTCTGCACGAGGTTCGATCAAAAAATATGTGACCATGATCTGACTTCATCATTGCTACGAGGAGCTCCCAATAAATATCTCATATGATTGTGAACTGTTTAGGAATTGATAAAAAATAAGACAAGGTGGTGAAATAAACGTATATTTT